CATCTGGCTATGAGTGCACGATGGCAATAAAAAAGACTTATAAAATTTATTATGGCCATGCGTACTACTGACCCGTAGCCTCCCACACTTCCACCCACATTTCGCCCACCACCCCTCCCCCATCACTCGTCACCCCCCGCCATTGTAGCATCCGGCAAGTGGTCAGTAGTTTTAACAGTCCTCGGCTTATAGATCATAGACCATAAATGTCCGCCAACTGACACACTTAACCCATTGCAGCCCACTTTTCTTTGCAACTTTATCAATAATTTATAGCCCTCAAGTAATTAGAGAATGCCAAAGGAAATATACATGTTATTCAGTTGTTGTTGTTGGTTTTTTTTTTAAATTATTTCAAAGTTATTTATGAATATATAATGTAAATAAATAAATAATATTATATGTTTCATAAAAAAATTTATTTGCATTAAAAATCGAATTTCCATTTTTATCCTAGAATTGTGTTTGCAGATTTAGAAGAGTCCAGTCCATTTCTAATATTCCGTATTAAACAGTCGACTTCCAACATTCCATGTCTAACGTCCCACTTCTAACATTCCACATCATTCTGGTTGCTGTTCAAACATTCCACTTCTATCATTCCACTTCTACCATTCCACATAATACATTCCACTTCTAACATTCCAAATCTAGCAGCCCACATCGAACATTCCGTCCTTCTAATTCCACTTCTATCATTCAACTTCTACCATTCCGCATCGAACTTCACTTCCAACATTCCACTTCTAACATTCTACTTCTAACATTCCACATCTAAGATTCCGTTCTTGTTGCTGTTCGAACATTCCACTTCTATCATTCTACTTCTACCATTCCACTTCAACCATTCCATATCACACATTCCACTTCCAACATTCCAAATCTAGCAATTCACATATCTTGTTGATATTCTAATTCCACATCTATCATTCAACTTCTAACATTCCGCATCTAACATTCCCCTTCTCACATTTCACATCAAACATTCCACTCTTGCTGCTATTCTGACATTCCATTTCTAACATTTCACTTTCAACATTCCACTTCTAACATTCCGCTCGAACACTACATTGAATTTTTTTAATGGGTTCACATTTGAAGTCTTTAAATTTTGTTTATATGTATTTCCTTCACCGATATATGTTAAGGTTAAGCTCAGCCCTCTAATTTAGTCATTCGGCACAGGCCGAATAACATTTTGAGACAAATCCACAACTTTCGCTAAGCAATGACCACCCATTTCTTGTATCAAGCCGGTCCATGATGGACTGGTCGGACTAACGGGGTGCCTGCTCCAACGATTTTGGCAGTGTTGGGCGGCGGAGAGGGTATGGCATGCAACCAACTACTCGATAATTTATAGCACTTTGCTTGCCAACACACAACTCAAGTGAACAATTCGGGGGCCGGGGGGATAAGGGAAAAGACACATGGACACTGACACGGACATGGACACGGGACGAGTGCCTAAGCCGACCGACTGAGAATCACGCCCGACATTTGTACAGAGCATGCATTATGTATACGCCATGCGTGCAAGCTTCTCATCGAGTATGAGTATGAGTGTGTGTGGTACAAGGGATTCGGTACAGTATTTGTGTGTGTGTGTGTGTGTGTGCCACAGGGTCGTTCATGTTGCTAACTAGACAACGCCAGACCCGACAGACCCAGCAAACCCAGCAAGCTCACCAGACCCGACGCTCTGCTACAATGTCTGGCATCAAAATTTAATGTCTTTGCCAGCAATAGTTTGCCGCATTTTGCTACCATTTTTAAGTTCCTCTGCTTACAAATCTACATCTACTTGTACATCACTCCCCAAGGAGTTGGTAGCTGGCATGTGATTCGTTTATGCCACACAATTCACATATAGATTTGGCGCGAATTGACGAATTTCGAAAAAATATATACTTACATACTTTCTAATAACTAAAGGCTGTATATAATTTAGCTAACATGTTAGATTCTTTTACAACCAAAGCTTACTCCAGTGTATTGGAGTTTTACATTAAAAGCTTGCACTTCGGATTCTTGGTTTAAGTTTTACTTTTGAAAAGGGTTACCCCGTGAATTATAGAACGATCTAAAGTAATATAAATATTTCGTATATAAGCAAGGGCGTAGGCAGATAAAAAATGTTGCCATATAAAGTCGACCACACGTTCATTATTATGACGCATTACTTGTTTTTCGCCTTAAAATGGATCTGAGTTGGATTTGTTGAAGTTTTTTCATTGATCACATGCATAAGTTATTTTTTAAATGCATCGTGCATTATTTAATCAAAAATTAAATTTTTTTGTATTTAAGAAACCTTTTTTTTATTAACGAACTACCAAAAATCCCTACCTTGTAATTGGTGGCAGACAGTTTTGGGAGAGTAAAAAGGAAACAAACTATTGCTCAAATGTTTATATTCATTCTAATTTAATAATTGTCCTCCTTAGGACAGAGCTTAAATAAAGAGTAAAGAATAAGGAAATAAATAAAACAATCATTCTGATTTTATTTTCAAAATAGCTTTGTACTAGTTTTTTTTTGTACATCTATACTGTCTCATTCTATACCAAGTATTTTCTCCTAAATACGTATTTATTCGAAGCCTTATCCTCATCTACATATATGGATATAGTATATATATTGTTGTGGTCGGTCCTATTTTTAAATGCATTTCTTGCTCTGGATCTGCTGCTGTACTGTGCTTATTTGTAGCTCAGGAATTCTATGTGCTTGAATTTCTTACGCTATATCTAATTCCATCACTTCACTTTTGAGGACGTTAATGAAGAAGAACATTTCATTATTTTCAATATTTTCCCAAGTACTAGTATAAGAGTTGGGCGCATACGCTGAAGTAAACATTTTTCAATCAATTCGCAATTCAATAATAAAATTAAACCGTGTAAACGCTTGATAAGTAAGTATGTACATACAAAATAAAGGTTGTATACATATATATTTGTGTGGGTGTGTGTAGGTGTGTGTGGATGAGTGTGGGTGTGCACAACCCACAGACCCTGAAGCTCGTTCTAACAATGCAAGTCAAAAGACGCATTGGGCCATGTGGCCGACCGCTCAGTGGTTTCAATCCAACAAAGGACCACCACATACTGTGCAGCATTTTCTTGAAACTAAATTATCACCCGGTTGGGCAGTGGATAGTGAATGGATAGGCGAATGGCGGACGGTGAACGGTGAATGGTGAATGGTGCATGGCGGGTGGCGGGTGGCCTCGGAGCAGAGTGTGGCGGAACAAGCATGTCACACGCTCGTTTGGGCAGCCAATTGGCAGGCTGGCAGTGTGGCAGGCAGTGTGGCAGGCAGGCAGGCTGCGTTAGACAACAGCAACAAGAACAGCAAGAACAACAACAATAGCAACTGGAAGCAGGCAGTGGCACAGTTTTTGGTTTGTGGCTCAGTATGTTGACATAATGTAAATTTGATTAATTTGTCTATAAAGCTTAGCCAAGCATTGGGTACTGGCAGCAGTAGCAGTAGCAGCAGCAGCAGCAGATACGGTAGAACAACAATCAATGTCAATAACTCACCTGCGGGCACAACAAAATGCCAGTCCGTCCAACTGTCTCCCTTTCCTTATTCCAATTATCTCCCTGTCTCTCTCAGTCTCTCCCTCGCTCTCTCCCTTGCTCTCTCTCTCTCTCTCTCTCTCGCTCTCTCTCTCTCTTTCCCTTTCGGTCGGTGTGAGCGGCTTTGTGTATAATTACGTGTGGAAACATAGACAGCCAGCCCGGCAGTAGCCAAGACAGACTTAGTTAATTTATGTGACAGACGCCGTCACACACACATGCACACTATAATTGGGTGGGTGGGCTGGCGGGTGGTGGGGGAGGAGTAGTACGTCCTGAAAAGTGATGGACATGAAACCTTGATGCTGGAAAAAAGCGGTTGATTTGATTCGTAATTTGCATAAATTTGTCGTTTGTTAGTTAATTTGCAAAAAGCGAGACGGACACCATTTGGCTTCACTCACAAGTGGCAGTCAGTGCTGCGAAATGTCATTTACTTATAACTAATTCCAATTAGAGATTTAGATTTAGAAACTTTAAGGCAATCAGAGTTTGGGAAAATAAGAAATTATTTTTGTCTGCTCCAATCCTCCTCAATAATCCCCCTACGCCCTGAACCGCAAAATATATGAGTATACAAGTAGTTTTATTTTCAATATTTTTGTATTATTTTTATTTCATTTCGACAAACAAGAAACTAAGCAACAAAAAGTAATGTGCCCCCTTCCTTTTCGTCATTCTTAATTGTGATTAAATCGGTCTATAAACATTGTAAAATTTTTTTTCTTTTTTTTCTTACCTCTACATCAAAACAAGTTCAAAAATACCGCACATGGATTTTTTATTTATTTATCTTATTTAGAGAAAACAATATAAAAGTTGTGAAAAAGTCGCCTAAGCTAGGAAAGCCTATGTTGGAAAAATCGAAACAAAATTCAATAATATCTAATAAACTGAAGCGCAGTATAATCGGAGGCATTAATAGGCCTATAAACACAAATTAAAAGAAATACAATTTCCAAATAAAAAGACAAACTTGTCCGAGAAAGGATACTAAGTAATAAGAAATACCTCAAATTTAAAAAGAAAGCCCAACTAAAAAGAAAACCTTTTCTGAGAAAAGAAACTTGGAAATAATTAAAAGCTAATTCATTGAATGTTGAAGAATATACAATAGAAAAAATATATATTAAAAGAAGGAATATAAAACGTGCTACTATATCCATACTATCTATTTATTCATATACATATGTAAACAACATTTATCCATTTTTCAAAACCATATTGTTTAGTATTGATATGTGTTTAGCCAAAGAAGCGCTATAGTCTCAAAATTCTTTAGGAGTAGTGATTAAAATAGGCAGACAGAAATACAAATTACTTGTAGTGATTGCACCCAAAACGTTTAATAAGCTGGTATACATATGTACATATATTGTAACCTTTCCCTTCACTCTCTTTATCTGCTTGCAGCGTACCGCAAGTGCCAACATACCGATGTCTTTTGCAATGCGCCCGGCGGAGTTGCACCCTCGGACGGCAGCCGCCTGTCTGGGCCCTGTGTGCCGAAGGAGAAGCGCTGCGACGGCTACTTGGATTGCCGCAGCGGTCGCGACGAGGAGGGCTGCAGTGGCGTCGCCTGCCGCTTGAATCAGTTCCGATGCGCGAATGGCCACAAGTGCATAGATGCGGCTTTAAAGTGCAATCATCGTAACGATTGCGGTGACAATTCGGATGAACAGGGATGCAGTAAGTTCAAACAGACATACATACATAATTTATATATGTATTTATCCATACATTTAATTAAAATTGATGCATAATTAAGGATGGACTTGATTTAAGGATTGAATTGACTTTATTATTTCTTGTAGACTTTCCGCCCTGCCATCATGCGCAATTCCGTTGCACGAACGCCCTATGCATACCCTATAACTTTCACTGCGACGGCTACCATGACTGCGCCGACGAGAGTGACGAGGCGAACTGCACGGCGATTGCCTGTCCGGACAACAAGTTCCTGTGCCCACGAGGTGGCGTCAATGGCGCCCCCAAGTGCATACTGAAGTCGCAACTGTGCGATGGCAAACGCGACTGTGAGGATGGCAGCGATGAGGAGACCGCATGCTGTAAGTTCCCCCCATTTCTATATATACTATATATACACTTGAATATATGTTTCCTTCTCGCTCTCCAGCAACTGCATCCTGTCCGGCGCTCAGCTGCGAGTTCAAATGCGGCCCCTCGTTGACTGGTGGCGTCTGCTACTGTCGACCCGGCCAGTCATTGGCGCCCGACAATCGCACCTGCATCGATCTAGATGAGTGCGCCGAATGGGGTCATTGCGACCAGCTGTGCACCAACACGCCCGGCTCGTACAGCTGTCAGTGTGCCCAGGGCTATACACTGATCAATGAGTCCAAGTGCATTGCCCCAGATGCGAACAATCTGCAACTGATCTTCGCCCACGATGGGGCCATTATGCGAATGTTCGCCCATGGCAGCGATCCAAAGATTCTGGCTAATGCGACAGCTGCTGCAGGCGTCGCCTTCCACTATGCCCGCAACACACTCTACTGGTCGGACATAAAGACTCGCAAGGTGCAGTCGCTACCCCTAGATGTTTTCAACAGCGCAGTAGCCCCATTGGATCAGACGTTGCCAGGCACCTGGGCGCCGGTAGCGCTGGCCGTCGACTGGGTTGGCGATAAGATCTATGTGGCCGATTTGGTGGGTCAAAAGATCGACGTATTCGAGCTGAGTGGTCACTGGCATGCCGTCGTCCTCGGCTCCAATTTAACGAGTCCCGCTGACTTGGCGCTGGATCCCACGGCTGGTTTGATGTTCGTGGCGGATGGTGGTCAGGTGTTGCGAGCCCACATGGATGGCACACATGCGCGATCCATTGTGTCTGAAGCGGCCTACAAGGCATCGGGTGTGACCGTGGACATAATAGCGAAGCGAGTCTTCTGGTGTGACTCGCTGCTGGATTACATTGAGTCGGTGGACTATGAGGGCGCCAATCGCGTCATGGTGTTGAGAGGTCAGCAGGTCCCTAGTCCCTCGCGCCTAGCGCTATTTGAGAATCGAATTTACTGGACCGATGCTACCAAGCAAGGCATCATGTCAGTGGATAAGTTTGAAGGTCCCACCTCAATACAAGTAACATACAAGGCAAAGGATATACGCGAACCTAAAGGTATCATAGCAGTACACGCGCTCAGCCAGCCCAGAGTCTCGAATCCTTGCGGCAACAACAATGGCGGCTGCAATCACATGTGCATTGTGACCGCGGTAAAGGGTGCTCCAACAGGTCTTGGCTACCGTTGTGCCTGCCACACTGGATATCAGCTGGAAACAGATTTGAAGAACTGCAAACTGGTGCGCGAATTTTTAATGTACTCGCAACAACGTTTTATAAAGGGCAAGGTGCTTGAGCCAGTTATTGAGGGCTTCAGTGATGCTATTCTCCCGGTGGTTTCGAGGCGTGCTCGTTTCGTCGGCTTAGATTTCGATGCGCGTGATGAGTTCATTTACTACTCGGATGTGCTGCAAGATGTCATTTATCGCGTGCATAGAAATGGCACTGGTCGTGAAATTGTACTCGCCTCACAAAACGAGGGTGTGGAGGGCCTGGCCGTCGATTGGGCATCCAAGAATCTGTACTACATTGACTCACGTAAGGGCACGCTGAATGTGCTGTCCACGCGAAATGTCACCCACCGACGCACACTTCTGAGAAACCTAAAGCGACCCCGCGCCATCGTCGTACACCCAAATCGCGGCTACATTTTCTTTTCCGAGTGGGATCGGCCAGCCAATATTACACGAGCTAACACCGATGGAAGCGGCCTACTCGTCTTCCGCAATGTAACACTCGGCTGGCCCAATGGCCTGTCTATTGACTTCAAGGAAGATCGTGTTTATTGGTGCGACGCACTGCTAGATCATGTGCAGCATGCGAATCTGGATGGCACGGATATCAAGACGGTCAATTCGCGCCTTGTGCGCCATCCTTTCTCCATAGTTATACACAACGACTGGATGTACATAACGGACTGGAGGCTAGATGCCATTATACGATTGCATAAGCTAACGGGCGAGCAGGAGGAGATGATGGTACGTGAGCCGCAAACCAATCGACTTTATGGCGTGAAAGTGTACAGCCACGATGTACAGCGCATTGCTGAGACGCAACCTTGCCACTTGAACAATGGTGGCTGCCAGAAGATTTGCTTTGCCGTACCCCTCACACATAATGACACGCAGACGCCGCCAGCCTCTGGAGCGGGTGCGCAAGATGTTCGCCTACAGTCGCGATGCTCCTGCCCCTATGGTGAACGTTTGGCCGAGGATCAAGTGAGCTGTATTCCCGATCCCAGGGCCGAGCCACCTGTACAGCCGTGTCCGAACTCTTGGGACTTCACGTGCAACAACCAACGTTGCATACCTAAATCATGGGTGTGTGACGGTGATGATGACTGCCTCGACAACAGTGATGAGGAGCAAAATTGCACGAGTAAGTAACTGAAGACTAAAAATACAATGTGTTGTAAAAACACAACAGATATTCAAGCGTAACGTACATACATATATGATTGATTTTTGTATTTTTATTTGCAGAACCCACATGCGGCTCAAATGAGTTCCAATGTAAGTCCGGCCGATGCATTCCCCTCAACTTCCGTTGCGATCAGGAGAACGATTGTGGTGACAGCTCGGATGAGCTTGACTGCGGTAATGTAACGTGTGGTACCTCGCAGTTTGCCTGCGCCAATGGTCGCTGCATCCCGAATATGTGGAAGTGCGATAGCGAGAATGATTGTGGAGACAGCAGTGATGAGGGCGACTTCTGTGCTGAAAAGACATGTGCCTATTTCCAGTTCACATGTCCACGCACCGGTCACTGCATTCCTCAGAGTTGGGTGTGTGATGGCGATGACGACTGCTTCGACAAACAAGACGAAAAGGACTGCCCGCCTATAAGTTGCTTAGCCAACCAATTTAAGTGCACCGACCTAAGGCAGTGTGTCGAGGAATCATATAAATGCGATGGCATTCCCGACTGTAACGATGGCAGCGACGAACTGGGCTGCCCCAGCATGGGACCCAATCAGTGTAACTTAGAAAAGCACTTCCGCTGCAAGTCCACCGGTTTTTGCATACCCATTGCTTGGCACTGTGACGGCTCTAACGACTGTAGCGACCACTCTGATGAGCAGGATTGCGGTCAGATTACCTGCGCCCAAAACTTCTTTAAGTGCAACAACACCAACTGCATTTTCAAGGCATATATATGTGATGGCAAGGATGACTGCGGCGATAACTCTGATGAAGGTGCGGAGCATGCTTGCGTACCTCCGCCCTTCAAGTGCCCGCACGGTCAGTGGGAATGTCCCGGAGTAACTGAACGTTGCGTTAACATAACCTCAGTATGCGACGATACACCGGACTGTCCAAATGGTGCTGATGAGGGCGAAGGCTGTGCACTGGCCGAGTGCGAGCATCAGACTGGCCAATGCTCCAACTTTTGCCAGAAGACTCCGGCTGGCGCCATGTGCGTGTGTCCACCGGGCTCAGAAATCGGCGAAGATGGCTTTACCTGTGTCGACACAAATGAATGTGATCCACCTGGCTTGTGTTCTCAGCAGTGCACGAACACAAAGGGCTCCTACTTCTGCTCCTGTACCGCCGGCTATGTCCTGGGACCCAACAAGCACACTTGCAAAGCGGTCAATCATACAGCCGCCTTCCTTATCATCTCCAATCGACACTCTATATTAGTAGCCGATCTGAAGGAGCAGGGCCTTGAACGTGTCCCCATTATTGTGGAGAACGTGGTGGCCACCGCCTCCAACATGCACACAGGTACTATTTTCTGGAGCGACATGAAGCTGAAAAAGATTTCCCGACTAGACCGTGGCATGGAGCCCCAAGAGATTATAACCACCGGCTTGGACTTGGTTGAAGGTCTGGCCTATGATTGGATTGCTCAGAATCTATATTGGCTGGATAGTAAATTGAACACAATTGAAGTGTCGGCCGAAAACGGCTCAAATCGTCTAGTTTTGGTACGCGAGAATATCACCCAACCACGTGGAATGTGCATCGACCCTAGTCCTGATGCAAGCTTCATCTTCTGGACCGATTGGGGTGAAAATCCACGTGTCGAACGCATTGGCATGGATGGAACCATGCGACAAACGATCATCAACACAAAAATCTATTGGCCCAATGGTCTGACCCTAGATATAGCTACTAAGCGCGTATACTTTGCAGATTCAAAGCTGGACTTTATTGATTTTTGTTACTATAACGGCACGGGCAGACAACAAGTCCTAGCAAGCAGTCATTACTTGCTACATCCGCATTCCCTTTCATTATTTGAGGACACGCTATACTGGACAGACCGTCAGCTCAACCGCGTGTTGTCGGCAAATAAATTCCGTGGCAAAAATCAGACAGTTGTTTCCCATCTTATCAGTCAGCCGCTTTCCATACACGTGCACCACGCTTCGCTCCAGCCCATGTTCCCAAATCCCTGCGCCCAAGCGAAATGTCAGCATCTATGTCTTCTTAGTCCCAGTGCTGTTGAACACTACTCATGCAAGTGTAAGCCAGGATATCGTTTGTTAAGTGAGGGACGTTGCATTGAAGAGGAAAATCCCTACCTCATGGTAGTAAAGGGCACACAGATTGTGGATCTGCCCCTAAATGGCGGTGATGCCCGCGCCGGATCTCTTGCTCCAGTCATAGGAATTGAAAGTAGCACTGGGCTGGACTTTGATCGCAAGGGAGAGACATTGTACTGGGTTCAAGGACGCGAGGACGACGATGAGAACTGCACTATTTACACAACACCCTATGGCGGAGGCAATAAGACTCTATTCCTTGGACTGGACACTGGCATTGTTGGTGCGCCGTACACCATTGCCTTCGATTGGCTGGGTCGTAACCTTTACATTGGCAATCGAATCGCTAGCAACATTGAAGCGGTGCGAGTGGATGGAAAGCATAAGTATCGCACCGTCATATTGGCCAACGATGGCAATGCCAACTCTGTGTCAAAGCCGAAACAGTTGGCGCTCGATCCTAGTGAAGGAAAGCTGTTTTGGATCGACGAAGGCGTACTAGAAGTGCCAGTCAAGATTGGTCGCGTAGACATGAATGGCTCCGATGCGCGAGTACTACGTCAAGATCTGAAGCACCCAGAAAGCATTGCACTGGATATTGAGAAGAAAATGATCTACTACAGTACCAGTTCTCCGGCCTCAATATGTGCCATGGACTATAATGGTGATGATCACACCATTATACTTAATCAGGACCAAGCTATTTCACGTCCACGCAGTCTTGGAATCTTGGACCATCGTATGTATTACTTGGATCCCATCTATGAGAAAATCATGCGCGTCGACTTACCGCGCGGTGATAATCCTAAAACAATTGTGGATAATGAGCCTGATCTGCGCAGCATGATGATCTACAAAAAACGATCAACCATGCACCATCCGTGCCAAACGGACAATGGTGGCTGCAAACAGCTTTGCATTCCAGGCTCCGGAGCTTCACGAACGTGCGCCTGCAGCGTTGGCTACCGCAAGGAGAACGAGATCAATTGCGTGGCCTACAAGACCTTTGCTGTCGTCTCACAACTGGATGTCATACGAGGCTACAGTTTAACGGACAGCGCCGAGGCCATGCTACCGGTCAGCGGTCCAGGCCATCACATTCTTCACGTTGATGTCATGTACCGGGAGCAGTGGATCTATTGGGCGGAATATAACCGAGGCTACTGGAATGGCATCTTCCGTGCCCGTCCTAATGGCACAGACCTGCAACATGTAATCAAGGATGGCATTGGTAGCAACGGAATACGCGGCCTCACTATTGATTGGGTAGCGGGTAATATGTACTTTACCAATGTGTATCCACATGAAAACTACGTAGAAGTATCCTGGCTGGACGGCACCAATCGCAAAGTGCTAGTCAAAACCACGAACGACGCCCCACGCGAGCTAGCCGTCAATCCTATTAAGCGTCTGCTCTATTGGATTGATTATGGACAGCACCCACGCATTGGAAAGGCCCTTCTAGACGGTAGCAAATGGACACCCCTAGTCACATCGGGTATCGCCATGCCTCGTGATCTTACCATCGATATGCAAACGCATGACGTCTACTGGGTGGACTCTAAGCTAGACATGATACAAAAAATCTCCTACAATGGTTTTCATCGTAAAGTCATACGCAGGGATCTTCCGAACCCAATGGGTATCGCGATTTATTTGAACGATGTATACTGGGTCGATCGCAACCTGAAGGCCGTGTTCAAGGCTTCTAAATTATATGGAAATGAAACAGAGGTGACCCGCGTACGAACCAATTTGGAGAAGCTACGGGATATTGCCATATATAACATTAACAATCAACCACCAGACACTAATCCATGTGCACATTTGGGAAATGGCGGCTGTGATCAGCTTTGCTTCAGTTTTCCGCCAGATTCTGTGCCATCGACGGGCAAGAACTTCCGATGCGAGTGTGCCACAGGCAAACTTTCCACAGATGAGCGCAAATGTGAAACGGTGAACGAGTATCTGGTGTTTGCCACACGCACAGAAATACGAGCTGTCAATCTCGATCCACATTCCACAGAGGTTCCCTTCACCCCGCTCACCAATCTAACCAATGTTGTAGGCCTTGACTTTGATTTTGTGGACAATCGAATGCTATACACACAGATTAGACCTTGGGCCAAGATCGCCTACACACAGGCCAACAAACCCAGTCACTCGGACATCAAGGTTGTGCTGAGTAAGGGTATCAATCCCGAAGGAATTGCCTATGACTGGACCCAGAACAAGATCTATTGGACGGACAGCTCCAACAATTCCATCTATGCCATGAATCTCGACGGTAGCGAGTTGGTTATGATTGCACGCGTGGAGCGTCCGCGCGCCATTGTGCTCGATCCTTGCAATGGTACGCTATTCTTCACCGACTGGGGTCGTTTCGGCACCTCGGGTAAAATATTCCGCACCACCATGGCAGGCTCGCTGAAGCGCGCCATTGTTGACAAAGATCTATCGCAACCCAGTGGCCTGGCAATCGACTACGACGAGCGTAAGCTCTACTGGACCGATGCAGTGCGTGAGAAAATTGAACGTTCCGACCTAGATGGTCGCAATCGTGAACTGCTGGTAGACGCCACGATTTATCCTTTCGCCATTACTGTATTCCGCAACTACATTTACTGGACAGACCTGCAGCTGCGCGGCGTCTACCGTGCCGAGAAGCACACAGGCGCCAACATGGTAGAGATGGTGAAGAGACTAGAGGACTCTCCGCGTGACATTCGTATTTATAGTGCAGACCGACAGAAGTGTACCGTAAATCCATGCCTAATTAACAACGGAGGCTGTGCCCAAAGCTGTCATCCAGCACCTAATGGCAAAGCCGAGTGCCGATGCGACGACAATTCCAAGGTAGTCAATGAAGGACGCATGTGTGCACCACGAAACAACACGTGTGAGGCGAGCAAGTTTTACTGCCAGAACGGAAAGTGTATCTCTCGTATGTGGTCCTGCGATGGTGATGATGACTGCGGCGATGGTTCCGATGAGGATCCCACATACTGTGCGTTCCATTCTTGCTCACCCAATGAGTTCCGCTGTAACAACGGACGCTGCATCTTCAAGTCATGGAAGTGTGATCATGAAAACGACTGTAAGGATGGCAGTGATGAAATAGGTTGCACGTATCCACCCTGCGTAGATGGAGAGTTTACGTGCGGTAATGGACGCTGCATCCCTCAAGCCCAGGTCTGTAATGGAGTGAACGATTGCAAGGATAACGCAACATCTGATGAGACACATGAACGGTGCCCCATGAACACAACATGCCCTGCCAACCATCTTAAGTGCGAGAAAACCAACATATGTGTCGAACCCTATTGGCTGTGCGATGGCGACAACGACTGTGGTGACAACTCTGACGAGGATCCGCTACATTGCGGCCAGCGCACCTGTCCCACAAACAGCTTCCGGTGCCCCAACCACCGCTGCATACCGGCAACTTGGTATTGTGATGGAGACGATGACTGCGGTGATGGGGCGGACGAACCTCCAGATTACTGCAAGTCCGAGGGACGCACCTGCTTTGGGGACCTCTTCACCTGTGACAATGGCAACTGCATACCCCGAATCTACATTTGCGATGGCGACAACGACTGTCTCGACAACAGCGATGAGGACAATCGACATCAGTGCAGTGAGTAGTTGGTAGTCGTATTCCGATCGCTTTTCAAAACCTTTACTGCTTCCACAGATGATCGTAAGTGTGACGAGGAAACTGAATTTACGTGCGTGGAAAACAAGTCATGGCAGCGGGCTCAGTGCATACCCAAAAAATGGATATGCGATGGAGATCCCGATTGCGTTGATGGTGCCGATGAGAACACCACACTTCACAACTGCGCCACCCAACAGCCTTGCGGCGAGGACATGTTCACATGTGGCAATGGACGGTGCATAAATAAGGTAAGTCCTACATATAACCATTCATTGCCTGCAGCTTATTAAAAACTTTGTATTTCAGGGCTGGATTTGTGATCATGATAACGACTGCGGCGATGGCACCGATGAGGGAAAATTCTGCAATTCCAAATACAAGACATGCTCCCCACAGGAGTTCACCTGCCAAAACTTCAAATGCATTCGCAATCAGTATCGCTGCGATGGCGAGGATGATTGTGGTGATCACTCGGACGAGGTAGACTGCAAAAAGGATAACTCTACATGTGCCCAGGGTCAATTTGCGTGCAGCAATGGGCAGTGCATCGATTATAGTCTTGTCTGTAATAAGGTGCCGGACTGCACAGATGAATCCGACGAACCGGCTCATTGTAACGTAGACGAGTGTGCCAAGGTGGAGATCAACCAGTGTGGTCACAAATGTGTCGATACGCTTACCGGCTACTACTGTGACTGCAATGCAGGATATAAGTGAGTGAACTATTTATATACATACATATATAAAATAGAAGACACATTTGAATCTTGAATCCACCATTACAGACTGCTTGCTGATGGCAAAGCTTGTGCTGATGTTGACGAATGTCTAGAGCAGCCAGGAGCTTGCTCACAACACTGCTCCAATACCCCGGGCAGCTTCTACTGCAAGTGTGACGAAACGTACTACGAACGCCAAAATGACGAGCACACCTGCAAGCGCAAGGACAACATTCCTCCCTGGCTTATATTTACCAACAAGTATTATGTGCGCAACATGTCTGTGGATGGACATCAGTACAATCTGATGCATCAGGACCTGATGAATGTGGTAGCACTGGACTTTGATATCAAGGAGCAGTACATGTACTTCTGCGACGTCACAGCCAAGACTATATTCCGTGCCAAATACGGTGATGATGACGATGCACAGCCGAAGGAGCGTGAAGCTGTCATACGTCACGATTCCCATGGCTTGGAGGGCATTGCCATTGACTGGGTGGGACGCAAACTTTACTGGCTGGACAGACACTCGAAGAATTTGGACGTTTCCGAGTTGGATGGCACCAAGCGCAAGACGCTGCGAAGCGGCGTCGTCGATCCTCGCGCCATTGTGGTGCATCCAGGCATTGGCTATCTATACTTTACCTCCTGGCATTTGCAGGCCTACATTGCCAAGATGGGAATGGATGGCTCCAACTTTACGCGCATACTCAACTGGAATGATGGTATTGCTTGGCCAAATGCGTTGTCCATTGACTATTTCACCGATCGCATTTATTGGGCCGATGCTCATCTGGACTACATTGCCTATGCCGATTTAGAGGGCCGTCATCGACACACAGTGCTCTCGGGCAGTCGTGTGCCTCACGTCTTTGCTCTCAGCCTATTTGATGACTACATCTACTGGAGTGACTGGAACCTAAAGGCCATTGTACGCGCCAATAAGTTCCATGGTGCCAACTATACAGTACTACGGAACACCACCCACCGACCTTATGACCTGCACATCAATCACCCATTGCGCCAGCTGCCCTACACGAACCCTTGCGGTACCAACAACGGTGGCTGCTCGCATCTTTGTTTAATTGCTCCGCCACCAGAATCCACATATCTAAACATCGAAGGTTACATTGAGGAGGGTGCACCCATCTACAAGTGCGCCTGCCCCAATCAATATTACCTGGCTCGCAACCAAAAGACTTGCATAGCTAACTGCACAGCCGGTCAGCACCTTTGCGGTGGTGGGGACGAAAAGTGCATCCCATGGTTTTGGAAATGCGATGGAGAGAAGGATTGCAAGGATGGCTCCGACGAACCCGCAAGTTGTGCACCTCGCCACTGCCGCGCCGGCACATTCCAGTGCAGGAACACCAACTGCACACCGTCGGCAACAATTTGCGATGGCATCGACGACTGCGGCGATGGCAGTGACGAACAGAACTGTGACCTGCCCTGTCCATTGTCTGACTTTAAGTGCAAGTCTAGCGGACGTTGCATTTTAGATAGCTGGCGATGCGATGGTGATGCGGACTGCAAAGATGGCAGCGACGAAGATCCAGCCGTGTGTCGTAAGTACTCAAGGCAAACAAAGAAGTGAAAAAGAGAATCAACTTAAACCTAACCCCTTTTCAATTCTCAGATAAGCGCACCTGTGACCCATCCACGGAGTTCAAATGCAAGAACGGCCGATGCATTCCGCAACTGTGGATGTGTGACTTCGATAACGACTGCGGCGACGACTCTGACGAGCCGGCATACATGTGCCGTCAACGCAACTGCACCGTGGGCTGGCAACGGTGTCCCGGCCAGTCCAATTACCGCTGCATACCGAAGTGGCTCTTCTGCGATGGCAAGGATGACTGTCGCGATAACAGTGACGAGCTGCCAGAGAACTGTCCGAAGTGCTCGGCGGAGACGGACTTCAAATGTGGAAACAATCGCTGCATACCCAAGTGAGTGACTTATCTCTTCCATATTGAATTGCATTTCAAATCATTTTCGTTCCCTTTACTCTTAGGCAATGGATGTGTGATTTTGCCGATGATTGTGGGGACGCCAGTGACGAGAACGATGCGATCTGCAAGGGTCGCTATCGCGAATGCTCTGAGTCAGAGTTCCGGTGCGGCAACGGCAAATGTATTTCGTCCCGTTGGCAATGCGATCATGAGGACGACTGCGGCGACAACTCAGACGAGATGAACTGTGAAGGGTATCAGTGCAAAAATGGAACATTCCAATGTGCCTCGGGCCACTGTATTGCCGCTTACTTCCGTTGCGATGGCGATCGCGACTGTCGTGATATGTCTGATGAGGTGGGATGTCCACCGCGCTTCCCTGGCGGTCGCTACTGTCCGGAGTCACGCTTCCAGTGCACCAACAACCTCTGTGTCTCACTCTCTGATCTGTGCGACGGCACTGATGACTGCGGCGATGGCAGCGACGAGGATCCAAAGGTGTGCAGCGACTTCAACTGCGACACCCTACGCCGCTTCCAGTGTGCCAACCATCGCTGCGTCGCTCGCTACCAGATCTGTGACGGCATAGACAACTGCGGCGATGGCAGCGATGAGAACAACATGACGCTATGCGCCAGCAAGCAGAAACCCTGCGATCTTTACACGCAGTATCAATGCGCCAACAAACACTGTATCGAACGGTCCCAGGTGTGCGACTTTTCGGACGACTGTGGAGACGCGAGTGACGAGCTTGGCTGTCATCACACGAGCAGCTGCTCGGAGAGCAATCGTGGCGGCTGCCAGCACCACTGCCAGAACTTAACGGACGGTGGCTATATATGCACCTGTTATCCCGGCTATATTATAGCGCCCGACAACAAGAAACATTGCGCGGACGTGGACGAGTGCGCCACGCGCCAGCACACGTGCTCCCATCAGTGCCATAATTTGAATGGTACCTATACCTGCAGCTGTCGTGATGGTTTCCATCTAACCGATTCCGCCTCGGGTGTGTGCAAGGCCGAGAAGGATGATGTGGTGCTTGTGTTTGCCAATGGACCAGAGATACGAGGCCTAAATCTACATAAGAAGGAAGAGTTTGACGTGATTGCCGCAGAGAAACGTATCGAAGCTCTGGACTATGATGCCCAACAGCAGATTGTGTTCTGGGCAGACAGCTATGACAAGACAATCAAGCGCTCCTACATGGTGAATGCATTAGATGGACAAGCCAAGATTGGATTTGCGCAGGATCTAAATATGAAGGGCGGATCGAAGCCCACAGCGGTGGCGGTAGACTGGCTAGCATCGAATCTTTACTGGACTGAGGTGGATCGCACGGGTAGTAAACCACGCGGACGCGTGATGGTGGCCAAGACAGATGGCCGCTATCGCCGCAGCATTGTGAATGCTGGCCTGGAAGTGCCCACATCCATTGCAGTGAACCCACAGCTAGGTCGCATATATTGGGCCGATGCTGGTTCGGCGCCCAAGATCGAGGTCTCCTGGATGGACGGCTCCAAGCGCCGTCCACTGATCACAGAACAGATCCGCCATCCAGCTGGGTTGACCATCGACTACTCGCAGGATCACATCATTTACTGGGTGGACACCAAGCTCAATACAATTGAGTCCATGCGCGCCGATGGATCAAGGCGCAAGCCAATTGTCAAGGGTGACCAGCTGCGTCATCCCGTTTCGCTCGATTTGTTCGAGTCCAACATGTACTGGGTAACTCGGGATACTGGCGAGCTATTGCGCCAGGACAAGTTTGGACGCGGTGTGCAGGTCGTGGTGCATCGCAATCTCGTCAATCCGTCCGGCTTAAAGGTCTACCATGAGAAGCGTTACAACACCTCGCTGCGCAATCCATGCTACGAATCCAGCTGCTCACATCTATGCCTGCTGGTGCCCGGTGGCCATCGCTGCGCCTGCCCAGACAGCTCAGGACCTTTGCCTTCGCATCGCAGCACCGCCGAGGTGATTTGTGATGCGGCCGCCGAGCGTCCACGCCCGGCACCGCGAATTTGCCGCTGCCAGAACGGTGGCCTCTGCAAGGAGGACGATCGTGGCGAACTCTACTGCGAGTGTTTGTCCGACTTCAAGGGTGACAGTTGCGAGCGCAGCACGACGGGCGCTTTTGGCCATGGTGGCGCCAATGTAACAGCCGTAGTCGTGCCCATCATGGTCATATTGTTGGTCATGATGGCTGCCGCTGGTGCCTGGTATGTCATACGGAAGCGACCATTGTAAGTACCAGGACTATCACACGGATCATTATCTTTTTCTACTATTAACCTTGGCTCTCCGATTTCACCATTCTTCTATATAGCGGCAAACTGGCACGCATGCCCGCCATCACCTCCTCACAGAGCGTTACGTTCCGCCATGGCTCCAACGTCGAGTTCAGCGAGTCTGGTTTCCCGGGCGCCTCAGCGCCTGGCAGCAACGATGTGGCTCCCATCGAGGGCTACAACCTGCAAACAGTCAACGCCAACAAGGCTCGCGACTTTGCCAATCCAATGTACGATGCTGTGCAGTCTGGCACCAGCGATCCGAGCATTGGCAACGGCTCAGGTAACCCTCCTTCCCTCAGAATTGTGTTTAGACCCAACTTAATAAAAGTTTTTGAATCAACAAAACATATTATACAAGTATAAGTAGATCCTAATGCAGTATTTGTGCTTGCAGGCATTTACGATGTGCCACAGGAACCCTCCAAGTCCAAGCCCATAGGCTCCTTCACGGATCCGAGCTCCGCCATCATTGCGCCAAGCAGCATTACGCACAAGTCTTCGCCACAGCTGCAGCTGCGAACCAGAGAGCTAGATCCGTCGGCCGACACCGGCAAGGACACCCAGTATCTGGTGGAGGAGGATAAGTCTGAGTGCTGATATCAAGCTAAGCCCGCAGCGGTAACTATGGCGACCACGCCCACCGCCCTGCCGCTGGGCTGTCGCCGGCAGCAGTCGTCGTCGTCCCAACGTCCGGCCCACAACAGCTACCCGTTGCAAACATAACACAGACTTCTCCAACAAAAACAACAGCAACAACAACAACAACAAAAACAACAACAGCAAAAACAGAAACACCAACAGCAGCAGCAGCAGCAGCAGCAACCACAGCAGTTGCGATCGCACAGCAAACATCACGAATCCAAATCCTGGCATGTGGCCAACGAGAATGCCTCAAAACTAACAACCAAGGTGTAAAGACAAACGCATATATAAGGTATATGAAGGATCGAGGCAGGCACAGGCAGCAAGTTTTGTAAACAAGAAGAATTATTTATTATACTATACACAACATTTTATACATGTATGTAGACCGATCTTCTTTATTTTATTTTCTAATTTTTTTTTTTGAGAGAGATACTAACAACAAAGAAAAGTCGAGCGAAAATATTGAACACACATATCCTTGAAGACAAATGAGAAAAGGGCGCGCGAGTGCCTGGCAAACTACTGTTGCAATTATTAATATATAAAAAGCTATATATACATATATACATATATATACATACATATATACGTATACATACATACATACCTATACATAAAAATGTAAGCTAGAGAGCCACGAGCCACACCCACTAAGCGGGAATGCGCGCCAGCCAAAAAATAAAGGGGAAAAAATAAAATTAATAATAATAAATAAATTAAAAGCCAAGCAACCAAATCCAATTCCGGATCCACTCGCTTACGGCCCGCGTTTCCGGTTAGCGGTTGTCTCGCCCCCCCACACACACACACACACACACACACACAACAACAATAACAACAAAAACAACAAGCTAAAGTGCAACAAAAACTTATAAGGCCAACATTTCATTATGTTGTCGTGTTTTTTTTTTATTTAAAGCTGCAAAAACAAAAATGGTGTAAAAAGGCATAGAGTATATTTTTCTGAATGCTAATGACAATATTAACTATATACATATATGTATACAACAATGAGGAAACAAAAGCAACGCGATTATATATGTACGTGTATTTGTTTAACAAAATGCAGGCAAAATCTAAGCTAAGTGTGCATTTTTTTTTTAAACGCTAAGACCAGGGAATCAAATCGGAATCAAAACTATCGCAGAAACCATGGGGACTCAGATGGGAGGCAACATCTCAAATCAATGCACTTAATCCGGTCCAATTTTGGGTTTCTTTATACCACACATGCCCCAAAATTTGAAAAATGTAAAAGATTCCGGATTGGCAGCTCCATTATAGTACATTTCTCTAGAACCGTAACCGATAGGATATTGGTTCCGGTTGTAATCTCTGGCAGAACACAGCAACAAAAACAAAAGAAACAAAAACAGCAACGTAAACACAAACACAAATGCGACTCTGTACTAGAATTTCTATATTTTTCTAAAAACAAAACAAACTAAAAATCCATGAAAACAGACAAACGCAATTGACTCAAAGCAAGCTGTAAAGCCACTATATAGTAAGCTCCGATTTGGGCAATAGCAGCAGCAGCAGCAACAACAGTAACAACAGCAAGCAACAACAAAGTACATATGTATATCATAAATATTTATATAAATTATTTTAATAGCTATTTATTAAAGAGGAAAAAAAGTTAAAGAAAAAGAAAGACCATCGGAAATATTTGGAACCTTCTCGCGAGCATTCCAACGGGCAAGAACAAAGTAAAGCATTCCAAACAGAAGAAGGACAAGATGAAGAAGAAGAAGAAGTTGATGAATATGAATATTAAATAAAGAAAAAGCATTCCACAAAAACAGGCAATAGGCGGTCCAGTCTCCACGTCCACACACCTCAAACGTTTCCACGATTCCGATTCGGGCACTCGAAATTGTTTGTTTCTAAACAAAGCTAAGCTTTTTATTCATAGTTACATATTTCACAACTGCAGTTAAAATACATATATATGCGTTCGTTTGTGTGTGTAATTAACATTTAGCGTTTTTATTTTTTAATTCTATATTTTTTTTATTATATACACATATATATATACTTATATATATATATGATTTGTTTGGTCGTCGAAAGTTTTGTAACTTGTGCAAATCCGTGCTTCCTTTCATTTAAGCGTGTTTTTAGCATAAATTTAGTGAAAGATGAATTATATATACATACAATATATATACATATATATATATATATATGACGATGATAATGAAGCGTTAAGACGATGATTGTGGGAGTTGATGTATATTTAGTGTCAAGTGAAAAGAAAAACTATTTGTTGAAAAGAAATTAATTTTTTTTTATTATACAAAAGAAAAACATCAAATAAAAAATAATAAAACAAAAACTGAAAACAATATAAGAAAGCAACTTCATATTCCTGATAAGTATTTGCCTTCGCTTACAAGCATTTTTATTATTCAATTCTCGTGGGTGCGTGGTACACACCCTAAAACAGTAGTTGAAAGCATGATTTTAATTACATTATATTTTTCGATATAAAAATATAGCAAAAAAAAAGGTGGAATCGTAGCCCGGAGGCCACACTTCCACATGGACAAGCACACACGCCCACCGTATCTGCAGGCTTGCGTGCAGACTCAAATAAATACAATTTTTTCTTATTTTTAAACTTACAGCTAAGAGCGCTTCGACTGCCATACAAATAAATTGATTGTGTAAATTAGGGGGAGAAAGAAATCAGCAGCAGAAGCGCGAGTTATCAATAAATAAGAACTACTGATTGACTAAGGACTAATGTATGCCTATTAGCGTCTCGTACAATGGGTACATTATGTCTCTATACTGGTCATTAATGGGGATACGCATCAGCAGTCTCCCTATGCCTGCCTGTCACAACTACAGGCAGTGCTGTCTGTCAATGAGGACGAAGGTTGTCGTCCTCGCGAGAGACAAATAATTCTTTTTAAGTCTTTCTGAGGCAGATGATTGATTATTCATTCGTAAAGTAACTATTGGCTTATAGTAAAAAAGAAATTGCGTATTCTATATGTATGTATGTATATATATATATGTATATGTTGGATGTGCATATCTGCGGCTTCACAATACGCCGGAGCTCCCAAGTCTTCTTGACACACACAGCCTGCAATCCGCACAGGATTGTCTTTAAGTTAGCAGCTCTATAATGTATTGAATGTCTGGCTAATCACTCGTTTTCATCCGCTTCACCGGCCCATCGCTGCCCTGTGAGTTGGAGTCTTCCGAGAAGGGCATGCTCGACACAAAATCGGCGCCCTGGCTGTCGCTCACCACAGAGAAACCTGCGAAACAATGGAAAACAGGATAACAGACACACAAATAAATAAATAAAGCACACTTATATAAGCGGCATTGGCTGCTGTTGTTTTGGCAGCTGTTACACTACCACAGCCCTTAAAGGAACGCCTAAAAGGCACACTCACAGGTATTGGAATCTTCAGCAGTGAGGCCAGCGTAGCTAGGCGTGATCTGAGGCGGAGTGGGTGTGCCCTTCTGCGAGTTCTCCTTGTCGCTTATCTTATTGCTCATCTGCAGCTTAGATTTCTTTTCGCTATTGGACGATATGGGCACCCATTTGTAGATCTTCATTGTCGTATCGGTTATGGTCACCCACTTCTTCTCCCAATGCCGCACCTTGTCTACGGCCTGCATCACACGTTTAATGTCATCTTTGGCCCGACTGCGAGTCTCGGCGCGCACACTGCGGGACATGGCGGCGGCTTCTTTTGATGGAGATGGGCGGAGGTGGAAATTCTTCCAATTGCCAGATAGTTTTCTATATTAAACGGACTACCCGTGACGATCCCAAGGCGTCTCTCCTCAATATGTGAGCCGTGCCTGTCCAGGCGTACGTTGGGTCTTGGTCGCCGCACTCCACTCCGTCATACAATTGTGACCACCGTCGTGCTGACTTCTGATTGCCGTTATGCAAACGAATAATACTTATTTATTCTTTAATATCGTTTTAAGCAATTTTCTGCTTAATTTAATGCCGAACCCAAAACACTAAAATGGCAGCGTTTAAGTGTTGTACAGCGCAGGAAACATCAAGTGCTGCACAATTGCAGGAAACCATGCAAATAATTTATGCATTTAATTGAAACTTTTTCATGATGTCTATTCTAATTCCTTAACAAATGTACAATATTTATATCCATATGTATGTTCTTTACTCTACGGTGACTCTAGAACAATTCATCCATCTTTATTCTTTGTCGTCTTCCTTAAAACTATCGATACAATGCATTTCTTAAGCTTATCGGTTACATTGTTGTATTTTCGATTATCAGTTAATTTCGAATTTATTTATTTATTTACACAAAAGAAACTCTTAATAATCCCTTTCCCCCAATTTATTGCACTTTTAACTTGAACACAAATGCATGAAAATGTAGATACACATGCGTACATAGCAGCCAATCGATTACTAGGTATGTGCTATAGCAGCCAGCTAAATAGCACATGTAGTGACTGTTTTATTTAATTTTTGCCGTAATTAACAATATGTTCATACTTAAAATAATTCAATTTTTTAAATAAACAATATATTAATATGTATTTTATAAGCAATGCCAATTATTCACAGGTAATGCGAATGTAAATGAAAATGGCAGCAACGAGTACGTTCGGCACAGTAACGAGTACAATGGCTGCTGCTGCTATCGGTTGCCAAAGTATCGGTTGCAGTCGGCACGCCAATCGCCTATCGGTGTTTCTTTTTAGTATTGTTCCAAGCCTGCGACAGACAAATAAGCGAACAAATTATGCGCAGCGCGGTTGTGGCGTGTTATATTTTTTTATTTATTTTTTTCGTACCTGTAAATACACATAAATGTGCATAATTGGGATAGTGTGAAATTGTGTTTGCATTGAAAAAAATTGGTAAATCGAACCATACGTGCAGCAGGAACAGCAAGAACGCCACCATCGCCTACCGAACGAAAGAAGTCTCGAGGAAAATCGCAAAAAGTTGCAGCAACAGCAACAACGTGCGTGCGTGTGTGTAGAAAAAAAGCATTAAAAGGCGAAGCTGAGGAAGCAGCAGAAACGAAACGAATGTAGAAAAGCCAAACGAAACGATAGAACGCAAGGTGGAATCAAAAAGCGAAGGCATAAAAAAGTGAGCAAAAAAAAGAACAGGAGTAGCTCAGGAAGGGAAGAAAAAGAAAAGTTTGCGACAGTGGCTGTGGCTGCAAGAAAAACTGACTTCAGGGAAAGTCAACGTCGTCGTCGACAGCAGCAGCAGCGGCGGCATCGGCCTTACACACACACACACACGCACACAGAGAAAGAAACACACACATGCTGCTGCTTCTTGTTATTGTTGTAGCGTGTTCATAAATATTAACTGCATTTAAATCATAAACATAATCGTGTAACAACAATAGTAGCAACAGCAGCAGCAACAACTACAAAAGGCGAATAGCAACGAAAATAACGTTTTGTAAGAGCGCATTTGATATTCGCGTAGATAGCAACAAAAGCGGCAACGACACCAACACCTATAAGTTGTTCTGTGTGTGTGTGTGTGTAAAAGCGCGCCTGATAAGAGTCGGTGGCGGCAGCACCAGCAGCAACAACAACAATAGCGGAGTGGCAGCAGATTTAAAAGCCGCATCTGACTAAACCATCTGACTCCCGACTCTGACCCACAAACAAATGGCAGCGTTTATCAGTGAAATATCGTCGTCAGCTGGGAAAGTCAATAGCAAACCAACAGCAAAATAGTTTATTTCGTCATCGTCATCGTCGTCAACATCATCAACCGTCGCTGTGTCGTCATCGTTGCAGTCGCAGTCGCAGTTGTCGCCCCTCTTTTGTTGGCCAAAAAATTGTGCGTTGTGCCTGTCGTCTTCTGGGTGTACGTGTGTGTGTTTATGCATGTGCGTGTGTGTGTGTGAGCAGAAATCGCGTCGCGCGGCATGCGAATTATCAAGATGTGCTTATAACGTCTAATTTGCCCCCACAATTCCCATAATCGCAACAACAACAGCAACAGCAACAAGAGGAACAGCAACAAAACAAACGATAGCAACAGCAGCACCAGCGACAACAACTACACTGCAATAATAATAACAACAACAACAACATCATCATCAGCAGCAATATCAACATCAAACGTTGCCAAATTATAGTGAGCTGGAAAAATCAACTTGTCGGTTTTTTGACCCCTCCCCCTATCTGTAAAACGTAGCCCCTCGATCCTATTTCACGCGTCGCCGCGCCGTCTTTGTCGCTATCTCGCCATCTTGCTTGCTCGCATTTTGCACTTTTGGCCACAGACCATAGGCAGCCAACTGTAACGCTTCAATCAAGTCCAAAACCAGACATAGACGTAGTCGCAGACACACGCATAACGCATTCATTGCCAACACGCACGGTCGTCGACACCGCAACAGCAACAATAACAACAACATCAGCAACAATCACTCGACTGCAACAACAGCAGCAGCAGCAGCACCAACAACAACAACAAACACAATAACAGCAGCAGCAACAACAAAATGCCCAAATGCGATGTGAAGACCCGCTACATTCCTGCGACGTTCGCTTGGATTGTGCTGCTCCTAACCACATTTCTATTCTTCTTTTATCCGTAAGTTTATCAACTCTCTCTCTCTCTCTCTCTATCTATTTATCTCTCAATCTCTCTACTAGTTACAAACATACATATAAATGGTGTTTATTTTCTTCTGCCGCTCCGCTGTCGCCGGTCCAGAAAGAAAGAAAAACTTGTGCAATTGATTTTAATTTATTGTGGCAATGGGAAAAATAAATTTGCATAAATCTTTCACGAGAGAAGGTCTCAAATATTGTTGTCTAGCTGCGTTGGCTCCGCTCGGTCAGCCACACACACATACACATACACACACACATTAAACATTTACACACACCCGTATCTGCATATGCATGCATGGATGGATGCTTATTTATTTATTTAATCCAGAATGTCATGTCATACAAATGATTTGCGAATCCACTATCCCTCGGGACGGGACTCGAATAGGTCCTGCATTTAAACTGATCTGTATGTGATAAATTTGCTAGTTTTTGTACAATTTCTATTCTATTCAAAGCCCTCTAGGCATAGCCTAGGGGTCAAGGGTCTAAATAATTGCATGCCTCATCTATTTCATTAACTTCCATATCCATATACTTGATATTGTTCTAAGCAGAACTTGTAGATCCTTATTTTGTTTATAAGAATTCATTAAGCCAACAATCCATGGGAAAAGTTAATTTTTTCACTTTAAAGGTAGATTAGTTTATTTTTGCGCCCTATTTGAACCTAGAAAATAAGATGTTGCTTGCTTTAACGGCTAACGTCTTGTGTTTTCCGGCAAAACGATGATTAACTTTAGTCAAGATCCCAACTAATAATGTTTACAATCGAGATATAAGTGAAATAATCGATAAAGGTGTGTAAACCCAGAAATATATGCCTGAGATTCCACGATCGGGCTATGTATGAACAACTGTATGCTTGCAAGCTTTATATATCTTTTTTGGAAGTGATGTCAAGTGAGTCTAAAGATAAGGAAATAATAGAATGACAATATGCCGATGATCTCAGTTTGTTTAAGATAGGTACATATTTGATTTTTTTTATTATTATTTTGTTTAGCTTATCAGGTAGTCTGCCACTACAACAGTACAAGTATTACTAGCTTCGAATCGTGTTCTGTTCCTATGTAACAAGTTTATCGACGGACCACTTGACTCTTTGGCTGGCAACCCATTGTGTGGTTGACTCACACAAAACGTTGGGACCCATTTATGTATATGGGTCGGTGCCATTTCTTATCATCAACAGTTGCTCACACACATCCATATCATCGTGCCTCATTTCCATGCATGTGTGTGGTTGTTGCTAATTGGCACGCTTCTTGTGGTCCCTTCTGATTGGCAATTAAACCACCCCCCCGAACCACCCATAGTTCTCTATTGCACCCACTGCTCTCTGCTGGCAGCCTTTCTGCAAGCTGTGCTGCATTCTAATTTCGAGGCTTCTATTCTGATGCTGAATGCTGGTCAAATGCAAAAATGCCAGAGTAGGGGGGAGGCCAACCAAATGAGTCAGTGTTTGCCATTGTTGTTGGTGTTGTTTTCACACCACACACACACACACAGACAGAGACAGACAAGCACACACAATCAAAGATGCTTTCCCTTTGTTCTTTGGAGCCTTGTCAACATCATTCAACACGAGTCGTCGGCGCTGGCAGTGTCAAAAAAAATAACAAAACAAATAACTCCAGTGCTCCTCTCCATTTCGGACATTTATGAGTAATATGCTTGAAGGCCACGACAAGCCACGCCCCGTTATTTGGCCAGTCCTCCATCGCCCATGGTCACATTTTGCATTTTCTGTTTGACAAAGTCGGTCTATATACAATACATATGTATATATATATATATATATATATATATATATACACGTAAGTATATATTTTCCACTCGGCTTCCGTTTGCAACCCCAAGATTTATTTTAATTCGACTTCGCCCGGCGCCTCAGTTGAACTTTATTTGTTGTTTACACTTTGCGAGCGTTTGTTTGCTCGCCTCCTAAACCCCCACCCCCAGTTCTCCCTATATCCCCCACCCCAGGCACGAGTATCGTTTTCTGTATTTATTTAATTTAGCTTTTATCAGCGCATACGCATATTAAGTATCGGCAGCCAACCATGGGTGTTTCGTTCCACACCACACCCTTTGTTTAATTATTTTTCAGGCAGAGAACGTTGCTTAGCTTTTAATTAGAAAAAATGTAGCTACTAGTTTAAAGTTTCGAATTTCAATTTCGGATTCCATTTGAGTTGCATGGAATCGCACAGTATGGACAGTCCACACAACCACCCACCCAGCAGCTGTAAACGAGAAACGAACGGATTTACAATCAACGTTCCGATGAAGGCCCTTGAAAGGTGCAAGAAGTCCAACCCGAAAAGTTCGAGTCATTGCAAAAAAAAAAAAAAAACATTCTTTAGCGAACCTTCCGAAAGCGTATCATTTGCGCTATCTGTCCACAATTCTTGAGCGCCTCCCTAGGAGTCCCTTTAGAATATTGTACATATGTATATTACCTGATATATAAGTACCTATATACTGTGTATGTATATACCAATGTGCTCGTGCCGCTGATTTGTTTGGCCCAATGCCACAGGTTGCTTTGTCTTTTTGGCGATGGGGGACGCGCCCTGAAACCCGACTTTAACAAATAACTTTAAAAAAGGCCCCAAACAAAACACAACAAATAGGCTAAAGTTGCCACCACCACAACGACAACAACAACAATGGATGGTATATAGAAGTGTGTGCTCATAAATATCTATCTATGTACGTGTACTCGTATGTAGGAACATAAATACATAATAGCTACACACAAAACACCCAACCAACACACAAAAAACAACAACTACTATTTCTACACTCACAAAAGCAATACAGTAAGGGCTCGCTAAATCGGATTCCATTTCCGAAACTGACAGCATTTCTTGCAGTTTTAAAAGTTCTAAATATATAATATAATATATATAATAAATATATAATATAATAATAATTTCAAAAAAAAAATTTTTTTTTCCGTATCATGTAGCCTAGCTTAATATTTTACTGTTCTGCTAAACTAACCGATATATGAGATAGACATATTTTAGTGAGGAAATGAACAATTTCACTTCCACCGAATCCAGAGAATTATTAAACGGTTTTTTAAGTCTGAAGTTATTTAGAGGTTTTGAGCGTTCAAGAATAGCTCCAACGACTTAGCAATAAACTTGTTTTGTGTATGAATGAGACAAGTGAGACATGACAAGTTTTTTGTCCTCAGCTGTTATGGTTCAAAACTTCTCGATGGCCATATAGACAGACAGACGGATTTCTCTGTATGTACAAGCAGCTCAAAGGCCAACCTCAAACCCATCAATTGTTATCGAGTGTCTACTGTATTTGTCGTTTTGTTTCGGTTCCATGCCGGTCTCCCCAAACGACAAGCGGCCATTGAAATTCTAGCAGTCGCTTTCGGACATTTCAAGCAATACGGCGGGTGTTCATTTTTCCATTGCTTGCACCCAGACTCCCCCCCCCCCCCCCCCACACACACACACACACACACACACACTCATACACGCTTACACGTGCGTATGTTTGCAAAGGTGTTGCTAGTATCCCCGTCCATGATTGTGTAGGCACAAGGACACAGTCACAGTCACGCATATGAACTTTTTGCTCTCGTCTATTTGGAATTTCCATTAAAGTGACCAACAGCTGCCAACCGAGCAACCAAGCCACCAGTCAGCACCACACTCCTCCGCCCCCGGGTGACCAGCCGTCACTCACCCTCGCCAGTAGCTTAAAGCGCACTTTATTTGTACATATTATTAGTCCATGTCCCTGGCCTCGACGACGACGTGGACGACGTCGACGACGACAACGAACCCAATGGCCAACGGGCAACGTCACCATCGCCATCACCGTCGACGTCGACGTTTCGACCCCCACGGCCTGCTACCCCAGTGACCTCTCTGGTCCCTTGCTGGTCACCCACACCACACCCACCACCCCGAAGCCCACAAGCTGTGGCCTCAACAAAGGTCCAATGTCCCCCGCATTGCCCGCACCCCTCCGCCCAAGTTAGTCAATGGCCGGACTTTGCTTTGGTGCAGGGAAGCGCAAAAAAGTGAAAGTGCATTTAATTATACATTTTTGCGTTCCAAGTTACAAATTTTGTTTCTCTGTTGCAGTTGCAGATGCAGTTGCTAGGTTGCATTAAGCATGGGCGGGGGTGTGGGTGTGGGTGTGGCAACGCACATTTGTTAAAAGTTGTCGCCTTCTCATTTTGATAAATGTTCTCAGCTCTGCAATAAATTCTATTGTGGTGTGCCACAAGACAAAGAAATACTGCTGGGGTGGAGTGGAATGGGGTGCACGGATAAGACTGAAGGTTATTTCAATCAGAAATAGTCAGCCCCATTTGTAAGGGACGTTTTGTTCTATACGCGATTCAAATCATGAAACATATATATCCGAACCAACTATACGTGAGCCACAAGAAAAAGTCTCAACAATGCCAGGAAACTTTTTTATCAGCATCAGCTTAAATGTGAAGCAAATGGCAAAACTGAAGTTTAAGTAATATAATTAATATAAAATTAAATAATATAATAATAAATAATATAATAATAAATAATATAATAATAAAATTCAATAATATCTAATAGTCACCCAGGCATTTTTTCTAATAACTCGGATTCGCAGCCGAAAAAAGTACGTTCCAGCGGGAAAAGTTTATTAGTCAGTCTTGCGAACTATTTGTTTAAACGTAATGGCTTAAAAGGGAAGCCTGATCTCGACGCGTTATTTCAAAATTGCTCTCCAATATGATCCAGATCCTACTATATTTATCAACTCTAACGTCCAATTTTTTGTATTTTTTTTAAACCAGCAGAATCGGAAATAGTTTAAAATTAATTTATTTATTTGCAGAGAGTCCAGATGCTTGACTTATACTAAAGCTTTATTTTATTTTAGAAAGCAAAAAAGGGGACTCTAGGCAGCAGTACTGCGTAGTGCTCCCCAAAACAAACCGGGTTTAAA